TGTTGTTGTTTTTTCTTTTTCTTTCTTTCTTCTTTTCTGGGTCTTGAGGCTGTTCCTGTGTTGTTGTTTTTTCTTTCTTTCTTTCTTTCTTTTCTGGGTCTTGAGGCTGTTCCTGTGTTGTTGTTTTTTCTTTCTTTCTTTCTTTCTTTTTCTGGGTCTTGAGGCTGTTCCTGTGTTTTGTTTTTTCTTTCTTTCCTTCTTTCTCCTTGAGGCTGTTCCTGTGTTGTTTTTTCTTTCTTTCCTTCTTCTTTTCTGGGTCTTGAGGCTGTTCCTGTGTTGTTGTTTTTTCTTTCTTTCCTTCTTTCTTTTCTGGGTCTTGAGGCTGTTCCTGTGTTGTTTTTTTTTTCTTTCTTTCCTTCTTTCTTTTCTGGGTCTTGAGGCTGTTCCTGTGTTGTTGTTTTTTTCTTTCTTTCTTTTCTTTTTCTTTTCTGGGTCTTGAGGCTGTTCCTGTGTTGTTTGTTTTTTCTTTCTTTCTTTCTTTCTTTCTTTTCTGGGTCTTGAGGCTGTTCCTGTGTTGTTGTTTTTTCTTTTCTTTCTTTCCTTCTTTTTCTGGGTCTGAGGCTGTTCCTGTGTTGTTGTTTTTTCTTCTTTCTTTCTTTCTTTTCTGGGTCTTGAGGGTTCCTGTGTTGTTGTTTTTCTTTCTTTCTTTCTTTCTTTTCTGGGTCTTGAGGCTGTTCCTGTGTTGTTGTTTTTTCTTTCTTTCTTTCTTTCTTTTCTTGGTCTTGAGGCTGTTCCTGTGTTTGTTGTTTTCTTCTTTCTTTCTTTCCTTCTTTCTTTTCTGGGTCTTGAGGCTGTTCCTGTGTTGTTGTTTTTTCTTTCTTTCTTTTTTCTTTTCTGGGTCTTGAGGCTGTTCCTGTGTTGTTGTTTTTTCTTCTTTTCTTTTTCTTTCTTTTCTGGGTCTTGAGGCTGCCTGTGTTGTTGTTTTTTCTTTCTTTCTTTTCTTTCTTTTCTGGGTCTTGAGGCTGTTCCTTCTTCTTTCTTCTTTCCTTCTTTTTTCTGGGTCTTGAGGCTGTTCCTGTGTGTTGTTTTTTCTTTCTTTCCTTCCTTTTCTGGGTCTTGAGGCTGTTTCCTGTGTTGTTGTTTTTTTTCTTTCTTTCCTTCTTTCTTTTTGGGTCTTGAGGCTGTTCCTGTGTTTTTTTTTTCTTTCTTTTCTTTCTTTTCTGGGTCTTGAGGCTGTTCCTGTGTTGTTGTTTTTTCTTTCTTTCTTTCTTTCTTTTCTGGGTCTTGAGGCTGTTCCTGTGTTTTTTTTTTCTTTCTTTCTTTCCTTCTTTCTTTTCTGGGTCTGAGGCTGTTCTGTGTGTTGTTTCTTTCTTTCTTCTTTCTTTTTCTGGGTCTTGAGGCTGTTCCTGTGTTGTTGTTTTTCTTTCTTTCCTTCTTTCTTTTCTGGGTCTTGAGGCTGTTCCTGTGTTTGTTTTTTCTTTCTTTCTTTCTTTCTTTCTGGGTCTTGAAGCTGTTCCTGTTGTTGTTTTTCTTTCTTTTTCTTTCTTTTCGGGTCTTGAAGCTGTTCCTGTGTTGTTGTTGTTTTTCTTTCTTTCTTTCTTTCTTTTCTGGGTCTTGAGGCTGTTCCTGTGTTGTTGTTTTTTCTTTCTTTCTTCTTTCTTTCTGGGTCTTGAGGCTGTTTCCTGTGTTGTTGTTTTTTTTTCTTTCTTTCCTTCTTTCTTTTTCTGGGTCTTGAGGTGTTCCTGTGTTTTTTTTTTCTTTCTTTCTTCTTTTGGGTCTTTCTGTTCCTGTGTTGTTGTTGTTTTCGGGTCTTGAAGGCTGTTCCTGTGTTGTTGTTATTTCTTTCTTTCTTTCTTCTCTGGGTCTTGAGGCTGTTCCTGTGTTGTTGTTTTTTTTCTTTCTTTCTTTCTTTTCTGGGTCTTGAGGCTGTTCCTGTGTTGTTTTTTCTTTCTTTCTTTTCTGGGTCTTGGGGCTGTTCCTGTGTTGTTGTTTTTCTTTCTTTCTTTCTTTCTTTTCTGGGTCTTGAGGCTGTTCCTGTGTTTTTTTTTTCTTTCTTTCTCCTTCTTTCTTTTCTGGGTCTTGAGGCTGTTCCTGTGTTGTTGTTTTTCTTTCTTTCTTTCTTTCTTTTCTGGCGTCTTGAGGCTGTTCCTGTGTTTTTTTCTTTCTTTTCTTTCCTCTTTCTTTTCTGGTCTGAGGCTGTTCCTGTGTTTTGTTTTCTTTCTTTCTTTCTTTCTTTCTTTTCTGGGTCTTGAGGCTGTTCCTGTGTTGTTGTTTTCTTTCTTTCTTTCTTTCCTTCTTTCTTTTCTGGGTCTTGAGGCTGTTTCTGTGTTGTTGTTTTTTCTTTCTTTCTTTCTTTCTTTCTGGGTCTGAGGCTGTTCCTGTTCTTTGTTTGTTTTTCTTCTTTTCTTTCTTTCCTTCTTTCTTTTCTGGGTCTTGAGGCTGTTCCTGTGTTGTTGTTTTTTCTTTCTTTCTTTCTTTTCTGGGTCTTGAGGCTGTTCCTGTGTTTGTTTGTTCTTATTTCCTTTCTTTCTTTTCTGGGGTCTGAAGCTGTTCCTGTGTTGTTGTTTTTTTCTTATTTCTTTCCTGGGTCTTGAAGCTGTTCCTGGTGTTTGTTGTTTTTTCTTCTCTTTCTTTCTTTTCTTTTCTTTTCTGGGTCTTGAAGCTGTTCCCTGTGTTGTTTGTTTTCTTTTCTTCTTTCTTTCTTTTCGGTCTTGAAGCTGTTCCTGTGTTTGTTTGTTTTCTTCTTTTCTTTCTTTCTTTCTTTTCTGGGTCTTGAGGCTGTTCCTGTGTTTGTTTGTTTTCTTATTTTCTTTCTTTCTTTTCTGGGTCTTGAAGCTGTTCCTGTGTTGTTGTTCTTTCTTTTCTTTCCTGGGTCTTGAAGCTGTTCCTGTGTTGTTGTTCTTTTTCTTTCTTTCTTTCTTTTCTGGGTCTTGAAGCTGTTCCTGTGTTGTTGTTCTTTCTTTCTTTCTTTCTTTTCTGGGTCTTGAAGCTCTTCCTGTGTTTGTTTTCTTCTTTTCTTTCTTTCTTTCTTTTCTGGGTCTTGAAGCTGTTCCTGTGTTTGTTTGTTTTCTTCTTTTCTTTCTTTCTTTCTTTTCTGGGTCTTGAGGCTGTTCCTGTGTTTGTTTGTTTTCTTTATTTCTTTCTTTCTTTTCTGGGTCTTGAAGCTGTTCCTGTGTTGTTGTTTTTTCTTTCTTTCTTTCCTGGGTCTTGAAGCTGTTCCTGTGTTGTTGTTCTTTTTCTTTCTTTCTTTCTTTTCTGGGTCTTGAAGCTGTTCCTGTGTTGTTGTTCTTTCTTTCTTTCTTTCTTTTCTGGGTCTTGAAGCTCTTCCTGTGTTTGTTTTTCTTCTTTTCTTTCTTTCTTTCTTTTCTGGGTCTTGAAGCTGTTCCTGTGTTTGTTTGTTTTCTTCTTTTCTTTCTTTCTTTCTTTTCTGGGTCTTGAAGCTGTTCCTGTGTTTATTGTTTCTTTTCTGGGCGGGTGTTTTGTTTTTGTGTACTTTTATGGCATGTATGTCCATTGTTTTTTTTTATGTGTTCGTTTTGTTTAATATAGTTCTTACGTGTGTTTATGTCATTGTCTTCGTTTCTGTATTTTTTTCCTTTTAATCCTTGTTCTCTTGTTGAGGTATTATTTTCTTCTTTTTTTGTAATTTATTATTTTCTGTATTCATTCTCTTGCCATTACTCTATATATTTCTTTATTTCAATTCTTCTCAATTTTAAACGTCTTTCTTCGTCTCCTTTATTTTGTTTCGAATCTCGTCTCTTCTGCCATTTGGTTTTGGTATCTCTATTTATATGCCATTCTAGACTAATTTCAAACACATACCAGCTTTATTAATACCCTTAACCCATGATTATTCCAGTAAGCTAGAAAACTTCATTACATAAATACTATGCTAAAAAATAGTAAACAATTCCTCTTACAAATGTAAATCAACAATAATAACGAATAAGAACAGATATTACTCAACAATCCAACAATGCATATCAACAACAAAAAAGAAATAAGATAAATTAAATAAAAAATATATATACGTAAGAAATAAGAAATCAAAACTAAAAAAAAAATATCGATCACTGAACAACAAACACAACCTCAAAATAACCAAAGGAATTCATCACCTAACTCTCCCCCCTTCCCCCCTCCCCTCCTTCCCTCCCCTCCCTCCCCTCCCTCTCCCCCTTCCCTCCCCCTTCCCTCACCCCCTTCCCTCTCCCTCCCTTCCCTCCTTCTCCCTCCCTCCCCCTTCCCCCCCCCCTCCTTCCCCCTCCCTCCTTCCCCCTTCCCCCTCCTTCCTCCCTCCTCCCCCCTCCCTCCCCCTCCCCCTTCCCTCTACCCCTTCCCCTTCCCCTCTCCCTCCCCTCCTTCTCCCCCCTCCCCCTTCCCTCCCCCTTCCCCTTCCCCCCCTTCCCTTCCCCCCCTTCCCCTTCCCCCCCTTCCCTCCCTCCCTCCTTCTCCCCCCTCCCCCTTCCCACTTCCCCCTTCCCCCTCCCCTCTCCCTCCCTCCTTCACCCCTCCCCTCTCCCCTCCCCCTTCCCCTTTCCCTCCTTCCCCCTCCCTCCTTCCCCCTCCCTCCTTCCCCCTTCCCCCTCCCCCCTCCCCCCCTTCCCTCCCTCCCTCTCTCCCTCCCTCCCTCCTTCTCCGCCTACAGGAGCGCGAGGGCCGAGATATCTTCGGGTGCTGGTTCGATGAGGGACGTGTCTACCGCCGCGTCGCCGAACTGCACACCTGGTCCGTCCTGGCGACAGAGTCCGTGGCCAGGTACTCGAGGCTGGAGGAGGAGACCGACTCTGGAAGGATTCCGGTGCCCTCGAGAGGGAGAAGGAGGCAGGAGAGAGCAAGGAGGGCGGAGAGAGAGGAGGGGAGTGAGCTGTTCTGGAAGGAGAATGGAGAGAGGAGCAAGAGGGGAGGAGAAGGAAGGGGAAGATAGGAGAGGAGAATGGGAGAAGGGGAGAGGAAGAGGAAGGAAATAGGGGAAGAGGGAGAAAAGGAGGTGGCTAGTATAGGAGAAGAGGGAGAGCAAAGAGGAGGAGGAGGAGAATGGGAGAAGAGGGAGAGGAAATGGGAAGAGGGAGAGGGAAAGGAGACGGGAGGAGGAAGAGAGGAGAAAGGGAGAGGAGAAGAAGAGGAGGAGAAGGGAGAAGAGGAGAAGGAGGGGAGGTGGGAATGGGAGGAGAGGCAAGGAGGATGAGAATGGGGGAAGAAGGGAGAGGAAGAAGGAGGAGGAATAGAAGAGGAAGAGGAGAAGGAGGGAGGAGGAGAATGGGAGAAAGGGGCAGAGAAAGGAGGAGGAGTGAGAGGGGAAGAGGGAGAGAAAGGAGAAGGAGAATGGGAAGAAGAATGAGGAAAAATAGGAGATAGGAGGAGGAGGAGAGGAGAAGATGGGACGAAGAGGGAGAGGGAGAGAGGGGAGGAAAAGGGATGCGAGAGAGACTGACAGTTAGGTAGACATATATAGACAAACAGACCGACAGATAAGCGGAGGCATCCAGACAGACAAACAAGGAGAGAAGCAGAGAGAGAGAGACAAATCTCGCTTGTCTATATTTCATTCATAACGCATCGCTTCACACCAATATTGCGATATAGTATTTTAAAAACTCCCTGTTTATTCTTACGAAAGGATAAAATAAACCTCTCGAGCAATCTGTACAAGGACTGTTTAGTAAGAATGAGGTAAAGGTCGAAGCGATAAAGTTTAATGATATGGAAAGGTCAAATTAGGTGAAAAGGTTAAAGAGGGCAATAAAATACAAGGGACAGACATCTGGAGAAGCTACAGAGGTTCAGTGGCTTCCCTCTATATTATGATGAAGACAGGAAATGGACAAAAAAGAAAGAAAGAAAAAAGCAAACACGAGGATATTCCAATACATATAAAGTCAATAAGAGATAGTCAAAGAGAGTGAAAACCCCCCAAAACTTTGGATATTTCTCAAATGCATTACGAACGTAAAATAAACAAGACAACATCGGCCATCAAAACCAAAATCACATGACCATACACCTGATAGAATTAATCTAAAATTATTGCAAGGTTGATTTTACTTTCCTCTTTTCCCTCTTGCTCTCCAGGTATCGTTTCTTTTCTTTCTTTCTTTCTTTTTACGACGAACGTAATATAAACAAGACAACATCGGTCATCAAAATCCAAATCACATGACCATACACCTGATAAAATTAATCTAAAAGTATTGCGAGACAGACTTTACTTTCCCCTTTTCCCTCTTGCTCTCCAGGTATCAAATTCCACACCGAGGTTGGCTACCTGCACGCGACGCCAGACACTCAGGAGTTCGAGGAGTTGATGGCAGTTTCCCGCCGCCATGAGCTGGAGGCGGAGGACGTCACGGCCTCTTGGAGGACGCGGTTTCCTTATCTCAACTTTGGCGAGGATTGCCGGGTCTTCTTGGAGAAAAAGTGAGTCCGGGAGAGGTTAGGAAAAGAGGGCATTGCTATTTATTTATACTTGTACATTCTATTGGAAACTTTATATTACGTAGGGGAAAGCATTTGATTACCTCGTCTTCTTGGAGAAAAAGTGAGTCCGGGAGAGGTTAGGAAAAGAGGGTATTGTTATTCATTCATCTGTTTGTTTATACTTGTACATTTCTACATTTGATTACCTCGTCTTCTGGGAGAAATAGTAAGTTCGGGAGAGATTAGGAAAATAGGACATTGCTATTTATTTATCTGTTTATCTATTCATACTTTATATTTTATTGGTAACTCTACATGAAGTGCGGGGAAAGGATTTGACGCTGCTTTTCGAAATGACTTCCTGATTTGGTTCGCAGCCTAGGAGGTCAAGGAGAGTTGGCTGGCGGGTCGTGGAACCTAGACAGAGAGAACTCGGTGCATCAGCAGTAATATTATCAAAAACATTCATTTCGCTGACACACCAGTAACTCCGGAGCCTTTGAAAAAAACAGTCAAGAGGATTTCGAAACTGTCGTCTCATGTTTCATGTTGTTGTTGTTGTTTTTTTTGTCATTGCACAAATGTAGAATGTTTTGTCATTTACACATGATTTGCAAGACCCTCGCTCACATCGAAAGTAATACCAGGAGAAGAAAGGATGTGTAAAATGTCATGGTATTGGCTTTTGCAAATACCACGCCGTGAATACCGAGGCTCATTCACCACATGCGACCCAACCAACGCACTGCTTAGGTGGGAGTAAAGATAAGCTAGTGATGACGATGACTAATATCCCGTTGATGATTGGCAGCGAGGAAAACAGGTTTTTATCTCTAAGATTACCCAGATTTCTGATAGCAAGAAATGCTGTATTAGAAGCGCGCAAATTGGTCCATTATCTTTATTTATTTTATTTTTTTTTTTTCAAACATTCCCATCTCAGAAGATAATAAAAATTAACGGCTGATGGCAGAAAGGTTGCGTGTGTTTTAGGTGCAAAAGTGTTAGGAAATAATATTCAATAATTAACACATACTTAGAAACTGTATTGACATATATTAATGTCATTAAGGCTTCACTTATATACAACAATTAGTCAATAATTAAACCCCACCATATTGTATTTCAGCAAGACACTTCAGTCCAAAGAAATAGGCTTTAATTGTCAGATTCACTGCTAGAAATCTTAGACGATTGACTTGTACACAACAGCGAGCTCCCAAAGTTGTAAGGAGAACTTCATATTTCTCAGTGCACGAGCTCTCTTGGTTCATATTCATAAGTGCAGTGAGCTCTCAAAAGTTGCAAAGGATTTTGAACGTTCATATTTCTAAGTGCAACGAGCTCTCAAAAGTTGTAAAGGATTTTGTGAACGTTCATATTTCTCAGTGCAACGAGCTCTCAAAAGTTGTAAAGGTTTTTGAACGTTCATATTTCTCAGTGCACGAGCTCTCAAAAGTTGTAAAGGATTTTGTGAACGTTCATATTTCTCATTGACGAGCTCTCAAAAGTTGTAAAGGATTTTGAACATTCATATTTCTCATTGCACGAGCTCTCAAAAGTTATAAAAGTTTTTGAACGTTCATATCTCATTTCTCAAAGTTATAAAAGTTTTTGAACGTGCATATTCCTAAGTTCAGCGAGCTCTCAAAAGTTATAAAAGTTTTTGAACGTTCATATCAAGTACAGTGAGCTCTCAAAAGCTGTAAAGGATTTTGAACGTTCATATTTCTCAGTGCAGCGAGCTCTCAAAAATTGTAAATGATTTTGAACGATCATATATCTAAGTTGTAAAGGATTTTGAACGTTCATATTTCTCAATTGTAAAGGATTTTGAACGTTCATATTTCTCAACTGTAAAGGATTTTGAACGTTCATATTTCTCAATTGTAGTTTTTGAACGTTCATATTTCTCAACTGTAAAGGATTTTAAACATTCATATTTCTTGTAAAAGATTTTGAACGTTCATATTCCTCAATGCAGAAAGATAACCCCAAAACCCTCGATCCCCCTCAGTGCTGGACACCTCAGCCCGCGCGACCTGGTCAGAGCTCAGCAGACGGCCGCCAGTCAGCGCGGGGCAGACATCGTGCGGGATGTTGTGGCTGAGGTCATGCCAAGCGAGGCTGACACGCACAAGTAAGTCGTCGTCTCGTGCCTTGTTTTCGAAATGGTGTTTGAGTAACTGGTTTGAGGAATATGACGATGGTGATGACGATGGTGATGGTGATGACGATGACGATGCCAAGGACGATGACGATGACAAAGACGATAATGATGAAAATAAGACTAGCAACAACAATAACATTAAAAGTACTAGGAATGATAATAAGGATGAAAATACTACCACTACTACAACAACCATTATTTTTTTATTACCATTACTATTACACCCAAGGACGCCTCCACTTTCAAGACTAATAAAAGAATGCACACACATGTACGCATTCCCCAGATGGGAGGTGAGAACGGAGGGCGGGCGCGTGGTCCGTGGGCGCCGTGTTCTGGTGGCCGTGGGCGGGTCCTCTGCCCTGCGCCCGCTCTTCCGACACGTGTCCCCGGGGCGGCTGCCGGACCTGCAGCTGAGGACGCAGACCGTGGCCTTCCTGAAGGTCGCGGAGGAAGAAGCTCATCGACTGAGGCGAGTTGACCTTTGGCTGAGAAATGACAGGAAAGGCGACGTCAGACGCATACACGCACGCACGCTCGCACACGCACACACGCACGCACGCATGCATACACACACACACACCACAACGCACGCACGCACGCACACACACACACACACACACACACACACACACACACACACACACCACACACACACACACACACACACACACACACACACACACACACACACACACACACACACACAACAGCTGTGGTGAGAGCTTGCGCGTGTGGTGGTCATTTGTTCCTTTTCCGTGTGACGTAATGGATATGGTATATCTCTATGTTATCTAGTAGTACTACCACCACCTCACAGTATATCTTTATAGAAACATAACGATATAGTATGTAAACTACGTCATACATACTATATCTTTAAGTTCATCTCTGTGAAGCAACTGGAAGTATATTGGAGTACCGAATATATGTTGTACTGTGTGTGTGTGTGTGTGTGTGTGTGTGTGTGTGTGTGTGTGTGTGTGTGTGTGTGTGTGTGTGTGTGTGTGTGTGTGTGTGTGTGTGTGTGTGTGTGTGTGTGTGTGTGTGTGTGTGTGTGTGTGTGTGTGTGTGTGTGTGTGTGTGTGTATGTGTGTGACAGAGACAGAGACAGAAAAATAGAAGAGAAAGGAGAAGGTAGAGAGAGAGAGAGAGAGAGAGAGAGAGAGAGAGAGAGAGAGAGAAGAGAGAGAGAGAGAGAGAGAGAGAGAGAGAGAAATGAAGAAAGAAAGAGAGAGAGAATGTACAATATATTTAAGACGCACCAACACACAAACACACAAACTGCATACTCTGTAAAACTGTCCTTATTGCTTCCAATGTTGCAGGGACCTTCCCACTTTCTTCACCAATCAGAGCTTTGAAGACATGGACGGCGGGTACGTGCTTCCGCCTATAAAATACCCCGATGGTAAGTGTATGTAATAATAATAGTAGAAATAATGATGGTTGTAGTTGCAGTAGTTGTATCACCAGCAGTAGTAGAAGTATTTTCATCCTTATTATCATTGCTATTACTTTTTATGCTATTGTTATTGCTTGTCGTATTTTCACTATCGGCATCATTATCATCATCATCATCATCACCACCACTACCACTACACCACCTCTACCAGCACACTACAACCCCTACCCCAACCCCAGCCACCACCACATCACCACCACCACCACCTCATCCTGCTGCTGCTGCTGCTGCTGCTGCTTGCTGCCTGCTGCTCCTCCTCCTCCTCCTCCTCCTCCTCCTCCTCCTCCTCCCTCCTCCTCCTCCTCCTCCTCCTCCTCCTCTCCTCCACCATCACCACCACCACACCACCACCACCACCTCCACCTACCACACCACCACACTCCACCTCCTCCTCCTCCCTCCTCCTCCTCCTCCTCCTCCTCCTCCTCCACCACCACTACCACGCCACACCACCACAACACCCACACCACCACCCACACCACACAACACCACACACACCACACACCACCATTTCCCATTATCCTCATCAGTGGTCTCTAACTCACATGCTCGTCCTACAGGTAATTGGTACCTGAAGATGGGCCACAACCGCCGACATGAGGACGACCTGAATCCAAATGAGGTGACGGAGTGGTACATACACCGCAGGGGAAACAGCGAGTGTATTCAGAAGTTGGGGAGGTTCATGCAACACCTTATGCCGGGTAAAGATGCCTTCTTTATCTAAGCTTCTGTTTGTTACAGTTTTTTTTTTTTCTTGTTTCTCTTTTTTATTTAGTCTTTTTCTCGCTGTCTGTTTTTTGTTTTGTTTTTTTTTTTTTTTTTTTTTGTGTGTCTGCATCTCTCTCTCTCTTTTCTGTCTCTGTCTCTGTCTCTGTCTCCTCTCTCTCTCTCTCTCTCTCTCTCTCTCTCTCCTCTCTCTCTCTCTCTCTCTCTCTCTCTCTCTCTCTCTCTTCTCTCTCTCTCTCTCTCTCTCTCTCTCTCTCTCTCTCTCTCTCTCTCTCTCTCTCTCTCTCTCTCTCTCTCTCTCTCTCTCTCTCTCTCTCTCTCCTCTCTCTCTCTCTCCTTAAAATCGAATGTCATGCGTCTGTTTTTGATGATTGTTCAATGAAAATATAACCATTAAAATCATTTTTTCCATCCTTTTTGAAAATTGAAGAGACCAAAATGAACGACCATATTCACAAAGCATCCGTAACTTTTGTGACGTCATCAAAATAAACCCCATGTGATTTTTTTTATTTTAAAAATAGAATCAGACGCCATAACACCACCTCGAGTTGCTACTGATCTAGCCTTTCCCAACACCCTCCCTCTTTTCTCCTCCTCCCTCAGACGTGAAAAGCCAAGGGCTCTCTGGCGACGGCTGCCTCACCTCCCACACGCCCAACCAAGAGCCCTACATCGACCTAATAGCAGAGGGCTTCGGGGTCGCCCTCGGAGGGAACCGTTGGGCGGCGAAATCCAGTGACGAGATAGGACGTCTGGCAGCGCGGCTCGTGGTCCTCGGGGAGTGGTTGTCCGAGATTCCGAAAGAGCGCGTTCGAGTCGTGTGGAAAGTTCAGTCGCATTTGTGATTCAAGGGCAGAGGGTTGTTGTATTGGATGGGTGGATGGGATGAGTGGATGGATGGATGGATGGATAAGCTATGGATGCGGGTGAATGGATGGAATTGTAATCGACGTGTAATCGGAAAGTATTCAGCCTTTGGATATGAAATAAAAGTATTACCTGTTGATTTTTTTCTTTTCTTTTACCATTCTCGAAGTATGCTAACCTCTGGTACGCAACACACATACCCGAGCGGTCTTAACGGTGCAACTAACTTATCTTACGAGTCCTATTTTGAGAACATCCTGTGTTGCCTCGCTGTTTCCCATAGATTGCAAGAACATTCCAGAAGCTCAAACACCCAGTAAAGAATATTATCCGGGAGTTCGTTATTCTTTCTCTCGTTCTTTCTTCCCTCTTAATATACAGTGTCGCAAAATTGAATGAATAAATAATAATCTAAGCAATTATATCAAACTGGCGACTTTATTATGACATCTCCGTCCAAAACAATTTAAATAAGGCAAAGAGATAGCCTCTGGGGACTACTGTTGTATGTCTTCAGTCACAGCAGGTAAGACCTCGCTGAGCCTTAAGCATAACTTTAATTTTTGAGCTTTCTTTTGTTACCATAAGACTACGTGTCTGTGGCAAGAACGGCAGTACTGAGATCCATGAATGTGGAAACTGAAAATTCCTTTGGGAAAAGGGTGTACCGAATTAAAAGAGGAAAAAGGCGAACGAGAGTGAAAATGCAAAGATGTAGAGGTGTTGAAATCGTTTTACTGCGAGGAAGCGAGCTGAGTAAGAGAAAAAGAAATGAAATACCAAGAAATGCTGACATCGGAGTGGGAGAGAGAGTACGATATGCTGACACAAAGATATACAACGCCACGTGATGAATGACAATGATGCAATTATACTGACGTAATTTCATACGTTGAATAACAGAAAAAAAAGTTAATGAAAGCGGATGCGATGAAAGAATTGCTTCTCCATAAGATAATTGGTAAATAATAATGATAATAATAATATACATGTATTCATTCTGGTGTTCTGTTCAGCCTGTTCTCTCTGTGGATTATTTTAGGACTGATCTACATTTTCATTGATTCTGGCAAAGATTTACTGGTTTAACTCCTTGTCTGCATCTCTCTCTCTTTCTCTTTCTTTCTTCTCTCTTCTCTCTCTCTCTCTCTCTCTCTCTCTGTCTCCTCTCTCTCTCTCTCTCTCTCTTCTCTCTCTCTCTCCTCTCTCTCTCTCCTCTCTCTCTCTCTCTCTCTCTCTCTCTCTCTCTCTCTCTCTCTCTCTCTCTCTCTCTCTCTCTCTCTTCTCTCTCTTCTCTCTTCTCCTCTCCCCCTCTCTCTCTCTCCGTCTCCCCCCCCCCCTCTCTCTCTCTTTCTTTCTGTTTCTGTTTCTCTCTCTCTTTCTCTTTCTCTTTCTCTCTCTCTCATTCTAGACAGCAGGGGGATTTATTTAGAACTAATACGAAATCACACTTGCAAATTGGATGTCGTAAATACATTACTTTGACGTTTGTTGCAACAAGTGATTACATAACACAGTGTGTAGTCTTCTCCAGCTTAATGTGTTTCTCCCTGAACCTCAAAGAGAGAAAGAAAGGAAAAGCGAGAAGAGAGAGAGAGAAAAAGGAAGAGCAGAAAGAGGACACGAGAGAGCGAGTGACAGACAAACTGAGATAGATAGACATGCAGACAAACAGATAGACGGACAAAGCAAAACTCTATGTCTAATTGATACAGAAACACAAACCTTTACCCTCTTATCAATAATCGTACTGATAACCTGAATCATCTTATCAGATTATCCCTTGGAAGATGGAAATGTAGGCCACCAGCGCAACAAATACAAAGCAAATACATGAATTCGAATTAAGTCATATGAATCCTTTTTTTTTGTAAGGCACCAGCTTAACAAATACAAAAAACAAATACAAAATGAATACGTCAAATCGAATTTAGTCATGTGAATCCTTTCTTTTGTAGGACCACCAGCGTAACAAATACAAAACAAATACAACAAATTTAGCCATGTGAATCCTCTCTCTTGTAGGGCATCAGTGTAACAAATACAAAACAAATACAAGCTCTCTCTCATAGGGCACCATCGTAACAAATAAAAAACAAATACAAAAATACAAGCTATCTCTCATAGGGCGCAAGAGTAACAAATACAAAAACAAATACAAAACAAATACAAGTTCTCTCTCATGGGGCACAAACGTAACAAATAAAAAGAACAAAGACAAAACAAATACATCAAATTGAATTTAGTCAAGCGAATCCTCTCTCTTGTAGGTCACCAACGTAACAAATACAAAAACAAATACACGTTCTCTCTCATAGGGCACAAACGTAGCAAATAAAACAAAGAACAAATACAAAACAAACACATCACATCGAATTTAGCCATATAAATGCAAATAAAACAAACGTAACAAATGAAAAAACAAACAAATACAAAAACAAATACAATCACATCGAATTCAGTCACGTAAATCCAAAGAAAACAAATGAAAAGAACAAACAAACACAAACACAAAACAAACACAACACATTCGAATTTAGTCTCTCTCTCTCTCTCTCTCTCTCTCTCTCTCTCTCTCCTCTCATCTCTCTCTCTCTCTCCTCTCTCTCTCTCTCCTCCATCTTCTCTCTCTCTCTCTCTCTTCTCTCTCTCTCGCCCCGTTGTTCGAGATCCACACCAATCATTCCTACAATTCCTAAGAAAGTGTGTTAAACGGCCGGCACAATGACACGGATTCTGTGCTTGTGCGTTTTTGGAGATTACGTCTTTTTTTTACGTTTAATCTATCTTTGATTTTCTGTTTATTTTATCGGTTTATTTGTGTCTGTCTATCAATGTGTCTGTTTGTCGGCTATTATTGTTGTTGCTATTATTATTGTGATGTTGTTTTGTTATTATTACTGTTTGTTTATCATTATTATTATTGTTTTTATAATTATTATTGTTATTATTGTTTGTTATTATTATTATCATTAATTATTATCATTTCATTATTATTATTATATTATTGTTATTATATTATCATTATCATTAATCATTATTATTATTATTATTATTATATTAATCATCACAATCAAATTCATCAGCATTTTTATGAAATACGTTTGTATGTTCATGATACACTTAGAGGTACAACATATGCATTTGCGAGTGAGTGACATATCTATATAGTATATATATATATATATATATATATATATATATATATATATATATATATATATATATATATATATATATATATTATATATAATATATATATATTATATATATATATATATATATATTATATATATATATATATATATAGATTATTAGATAGAGAGAGAGAGAGAGAGAGAGAGAGAAGAGAGAGAGAGAGAGAGAGAGAAGAGAGAGAGAGAGAGAGAGAGAGAGAGAGACAGAGAGAGAGAGAGAGAGAGAGAGAGAGAGAGAGAGAGCGAGAGAGAGAGAGAGAGAGAGAGAGAGAGAGAGAGAGAAGAGAGAGAGAGAGAGAGAGAAGAGAAAGAAGAAAGAAAGAGAAAGAGAAAGAGAAAGAGAAAGAGAGAGAAAGAGAAAGAGAAGAGAGAAAGAGAAAGACAGAGAAGAGAAGAGACAGAGACAGAGACAGACAGAAGAGAGAGAAGAGAGACAGAGAGACAGAGAGGAGAGAAAGAAAGAAGAAAGAGAGATGAGAGAGAGGAGAGAGAGAGAGAGAGAGAGAGAGAGAGAGAGAGAGAGAGAGAGAGAGAGAGAGCAGAGAGAGAGAGAGAGAGAGACAGAGGGAGAGAGAGAGAGAGAGGAGACAAGAAGCAAGAAGAGAGGAAGCAAGAAGATACCAACAATGCTACAGCCACCGTATATATTTGAATTCCACACATAAAACAAAAGAGATACAGGGAGAAGACAGGGAACGCAGTGTGGCAATATTGTCTCTATTCCTCATGCGTCAAGATGTGCAATGATGACAGAAACATACCAGGTAATGGACTTGCAATATAATCATCTGCAATATAATCATCGTAACTGTTTTATCATTACACGAGAATAGAAAGATGAAGCAGTTTAATTATAGCTTATGGATGCGTCAGCACAGAGATCCCGACTAAGGGTTGGTTGCCAGATAGTAAATTTTGCGGAGTGTTGCCTGTTCGCGAGTATATTTCCCTGACCTTGTAGCGAACCAGGAGGAGGAACGGCAAAAGAGGTGGTTAAGAAAAGGCGAATAAAAGAGACAGAAAGAGACGGGAAAGAGGATTACAGGGTGGAAAGAAATATAAACAACTAAATGACTAAGATAGATTCGCGAGGCACAATAACGTCACTAAATGAATCGATTATTATTATTGAGAAGATGACGTCAGAGATGGAAGGAGGAGGTCCTTTGCTCAACACTACAACAAAATAATACATCAATGTCATCCGTTAGAACATCATGAACTCTGAACATGAGGACATTTATATATTTCGAAAGAAGTGAATTGAAATTTAGTTCGAAATATACTTAGAGCTTAGAAATATTCGCGTGCAGGAGTTAGGTCCACACAGGAGTTTAGCCAAAAATGCTCAGACACGTCGAGTCGAGTGTGGTGGTGCGTCTTCTAAAATTTGTTTGTTTATTCATTTATCTGTTTGTATCAACGCCACACGTGTGTAAGATTTTATCAAACAAAATTGTTTGTGTTTATATTTTTTTTATAAATGTATCTTATTAGCTATCTGTTTATTAACATTTGTCTGTTTGTCGATATCTTCAATTTATTTTCGATATCACACCCAAATAAGCATGTATATACCGCCGTATACATGACTATGTATATATAAACCGAACATCCACATAACTGTTCAACTAATACCTAAACTTTCAATAGGCCTACATTTCTTTACTAAACACACACATACAACTTCAACACCAAACCCATAGAACACAATACTCAGAGCAATACTATACCAGCTATAGTATTCCTCTATACTACGTGAACATAATAGTAAAGTATCAACACCAAAATCATAGAACACAATAGAACAATACTACACCTGGTATAGTATTGCTCTAAACTACGTGAACATATGGTATAGTGTACCATATGTCCACGTAGTTCAGATGCGTACCCAGTGCCCAGCCGTGCCACAGCCTGTGACTAGCCCGGATGTGAATGT